TGGTGTCTCAGCCTCCAGCAGCTTAAATGTTACTACTTTAGCATTGATACATATATCAGCCCCGATCCAGCACTAAAATGGCGGTATCGGTATCGGCGAGTACCAACCAATAGGGCACCGATACCATTTTGAGAGTCAAAAGTTTCTTCAACTATTGTCACCCATTCCAGGTAGGAAATAAAAAGTTCTACTGGATTCACTTTGTTTCAGGCCCCGTCCACACGAAGTCAAACCCTGGCCTAAACGCACACATTTTTCACCAAACCAGCCTCTCATCCATACCAAGCCGGCGTTTCGGGGGTCTGTAAACCATCTTTTTATTATTAAGCCTTCAGAGTGGGAAGATTTTGAAACGCCGTTTTCGCGTTTCCATCTTTACGCTCTAACCACATTTTTTTTCTTACACGCATGCGTCATAGCGTCGCCTCTAAACACGCATGCGCGACACAGTATCACAACAACAATGGCGCCGTACTGTGTTGAATGGTTGCTGCTTGTCATTACCCGATCCGTACCGGTAGCACGATCCGTACCATCAGCTCATTTGCGCCTGCGAGGAACAGAATAACTTCCGGGTCACCAAAAAATAATGTAATTACGGTACTGAAAAAACTTTATTTATATCCTTAAATAATTAAAGAATACTAAACTACATCGTAAAGACAATATTGAAGACTTTTCTGGAAGAAATGGATGCTTTTTAAATTCAATCCATTGTATTGCTTGACGTCATTTTTCTGGAATAAAAATCCAAATTTTCGGGAAATGTTCCCTTATCAATGAAAAACTGCAGGTCAGGAAAGGTAGCAAATGAATCCATTTTGGGATCAGTACTGCTGGAGTGCATAGTTAAGTACAGAGTAAATCAAATATTTCAACAAATTTAAATATTTACGCTGTGTGACGTATATTTGCGCATGCTCAGAGCAATCAAAGTAACTATCACAAGGCGATTGAACTTTTTTATGTATTTCTGTTTTTTTATTTTTAGAAACTGCAATATTGACGAAAATACAAAGATATACAAAAAGAAACCCATGCCTCTAAAAAATACAAAAGAATAAAAAAGTAAGAAAAAGGAAATATTGCCACCGGAAGTTATTCTGTTTGCGCACGCGCAAATGAGCTGATGGTACGGATCGTGCTTCTGGTACGGATCGGGTAGCGACACTGCTGCTCATGCTACTCACCCTGCTGTCGGGCTTACAACAGAATCTTCTTCTTCTGGAATATCTCCAGGAAGAACAGAGCAATATCGACCACATAGTTCAGCACCTGAATTTGACTGAACCAGCAAAATGGACCCGCAGGGCAACCATGTATAAATATTAGTGCGCATGCCCAACATTTCGTCGCCTATTTTTGCTTTGGCACCACAGCGCCACTTACAGGCCTGGCATACATTTTGCAGCGTTTTCATGCATTCGTGTGGACTATCACATTTATTTTACGTCTCCATCTTTACGACAAACGTTCTGGAAAATATTAGCGTTTCGCGTTCGTTTTGACTTCGTGTGGACGGGGCCTCAGTCTTTTTCCTGCTTCATAAAGGTAGGCAGCAGCTTGACATGAAGCCATGATGGTGATTATTTTACATCCATGTAGGATGCAGTTCTTCACATATACACACACATCAATTTCAAACAGATGGTATGGGCCAATACTGCACGGCCAGGTATCAGGTATCGGTATTGGGACCAAAATGGCATCGCTGCAACACTAACTGTTACTAATCTTCTCCACTTCCTGCTAATAATTAACTTTTCTGTATTTAATTTAGATCTTGTACTTTTTTCGTTTCTATATGCGTAAACTTTTGTCTCATGAGTGCTCCTCCAGCTGCTCATTTCTTTCAGATTAAAATTTAAAAAATTTTTATTCCATATTAAATATGATATGGAATTTTTCATAATATTTGATGTAATTTCCCAGAATGAAGCTTTTTGTTTAAGTTTACACATCAGGTTAACAGAAGCCTGCAGCCACTGAGGGAAACACCATCAGTTTGGTCATTATTGTTTATAGCAGCTGAAATCTGTTTGTTTCTTTTCACAAAATTAGTTTTTTTTTCTGATTTCAGTGGTATTATTGGACTGTTTCTAGGTCAGTTCAGCTAAATGCTAGAGAGTGAACGCACACAGATGGATCATGTGACTCTGAACGCTTCATTGAGCCCAAGAAGCTGAGCTCAAACAGTTTGGAAAGTGACTGATTGCTTGTTTATTGGCTTTATGTTTTAGAAACAGGAAGAAAAGTTGGAAGAAAAACTTCATAAACAAGATTTAAAGCTGAAATTGCGTCCTAACGAACCCTGAGGAGTCAAATTGAGGCTCTGTTAAAGCAGGAATGAAAGGAATAAAAACTAAACTGGGAGAAAATGAGGAATACAGACAGTCTGATTAAAATATAAACCTTTATAGTTAGAGTTTAAAGCCAAATAACAAAATAAACCTGTAAAGTAGCTACATGCGTCCATAATAACATCCGCTTTAAAATATTTATAATTTTTAATAAAATTTGCTGAAAGCCAAACATTATATTTAATGAGCAACAAGCTAAGAAAAACATTTCAAAAATCTGATTATTGTTTCTTATTTAGGATGAACTAATAATAAAAATTAAGCTTTTAGTGTTAAAAAAAAATCCGAAAGAGAATAAAAAACTTGCAAAATAGTTTTAAAAAGTAAAACATTATTTCTATATTGGAATGTTTTATTTTTAATGGATATTCAACTTGTGGTGATAGAAGTGAACTCAAAACATTAATAATTGACCTGTCTAATGAAGTTAATTAATAAATCAAACCAGCATCTTTAGAAGCAAACATGAGCTAAAAAATTTAAAGGAACAAAAAAATGTTTTTACACTTTTTAAACTGTAGAAAACTAAGAATGGAAGTATTATAACTTTGTGCTGAAATGACATCACATTTTTATCATCATTATCGTCATCAGGCAGAAACTGCTTCAGGTTATTTTATTATTTTTAATCAAGTTTTAGTTTCTCTGGGAAAATAAAACAAACAGTAACAAAACAGACGGTACAGACTTCATACAGGTGAACTCTAACTACAAAAGTGCAAAACAAAAAAATTAAATAATCAAAGAAAAACAAATAAATCTGCAAAAAATTTCTGTTACAAACCCAAAATGTAAGAAAACAAAAGTGACATGAAGAGAAAAAGTTGTCCAGGATCAACCTCAGTCAGGCCTGCTGGACTGTTTGTGCTTTTATTTCCTTTTGTTTTTACCAGTAAGGAAAACATGAGCCTGGTTTCAGTCTGAGGTTACATAAGATTATCCATAAAAATAAAACAGAGGGACTCAAACCAGCAGTTTTCCAGGTGGAGAAGAACCTGAGCTGCAGAAAAACCCAAATATTCAGCATGATTGTCGAAACTCCTGCAGCCAGAAAAATCATTTTATTTCTATTTTTAATCTGCAAAGAATAAAATTTCTTCCTGTGTGGCGTAATCGTCTGAAGCTTCTGAAACTTTTAATATCTTTGAAATAAGAAATTCAATCTGAAGTCAAAGTTTCTGCAGTCAGAGCTGAACTGATTGTTGATGCTTTTCTTTGTTTATCTATTTTCAAAGCAGCACATTTTATGATCTATGTCATTTTTTCTACAGAAAACAAGACATGCTTTTTAACCAAAGGTTAACATTTGACTTTGATTTAATTCTTCTGTTTAGGAATTAATCAATTAAAATAAAGCATTTTTTTTATTATTTCCATGTATTTTAAAAATATTTTCAGAAGATGCGAAAGTTTTATTTCCAAGTGTTTTGTTTTTTTCTGTGAGGGAAAATCTCAGTGGTGTGAAAGTTGTTTAGTTTGTTGTTTAGTTTGTTTAAGGTTGTAAATTAGCTACACTTCACTACTATTTTAATAAAATATTGAAAATAATTGTACAAATCTAGGAGTTTTTTATTTTTTTATATTACCTATATATTAAATCAAAGCAACTGAGATGAAACACATTGTGTAAAAAATGTAGTTTACTTTTCTGAAAGTCTGAGTTTGTAAATAAACTTTTTGCATCTGAGTCAGAATAGTAAAAACTAAGCGGAATAAATTGCATATTTTTATCTGCAGCAGGCCGGAACCCAAACAAGGCCCGGTTCGGTTGATTGTCAGCTTTTTTATGATTGTTCTTTTCGCAAAATAATAATAATAATATTAATAAAACCCGTTAAAGAAAAAAATAAAAAGCAAAACTTGACTGGTGGACAAACACCGAGTCTAAACTGAACCATTTTAGTGTGTGATTTATTCATTTTTTTATATTAATATTATTTTTACTCTATATTTTAGGTAAATATGAGCCGCCGGGCTTGTTTGCGGCCTCCGCGGAGCAGCGGAGCGCGTTCAGCGGAAAACTGAAGCGGTTCAGCGGCTTGGGGAAGCGCCATCATGGCGGGGAAGCTGCGGCCTTATTACGCACATGCGCATGGAGGGGGGGCTCCTGCAGGGCCTGCATACACACACTTACACACACATCAGGCTCAACATATCCCAAATAATACGTGTATTTACTTTGCATACTTTAAAATGAAGAGTTTGGTTCCAAAACTTGAATCATCCAGGTCTGTTTGGGCTTTAAAGTCGCTTTTTGAGCAGCTGCGATTATTACGATGAAAAAACAATCTAGAAATAAGTAACATTTTCTTAAATTAATTGTATTTACCCTTAATTTGAGCAGATAAATAAGATGATATGCCAATAGAATGAGTATTTTTACTCTAAAAATAAGATATTTTAATAATATGCATTTGAAATAAGACAGTTTTTGTTGTTTTTTCTTATTTTAAATGTAAATTGTTTTGTTTTATTGGCAAAATGTCTTATTTACCTCCTCAATTCCTTATTTAAACAACAAAAATACTTATTTAGCTTTCCATTTTTTGCAGCGCATCATGATTATTATTAGATGTCTTATTTTAATTTAGGAAACTCTTCTCTATCATTAGGCCTGTCTGGGGTCAAACCTGAGTGCAGATATGATCTTTAGGCTTCTTTTTCCTCTAAATCCCCTGATTGGTTTAATAACTTTAAGGCTTTTTTTATATAATAATTAACTTATTCAAACATTGTTTTGTTTTTTTCAAATAAACAAAAAAAAAAGTTGTGATTGTCTCCAAACGTAATAAATAATAATTATCCCAGCCCTCCCACCCGTTTTCATTAATACTGATGAGTAAATACACTGAGAATAAAATTTAAATACATTGTACAATAAATACAAAACATAAATAATAAAGTCAAACAAAAGTACTGAAAATCTTTGTACAAGATATAAATAGTTTGAAATATTCTTATAGTGTTACCTTTGGCAAGTCTAGTTGACAGTTTTACACCCGCGGGTAACAAAAGTTTGTCCCTTTTTTCTTTTTCTAGAAAATAAACCAAATGAACCAGAATATGGCCAAAAATTTTCACTTCATATATTTTCGATAAATCAGCTCATTGTTTGATATTTACCGCGTATTTTCTGCCCTTTACTGACGTCTTTTGTTTCCACTGAGAGTCCAAAGGGTGGCTGAAGGGGGGGGTCAGTTCAGGAAGGCGTTGGGGGTCACCCTCTTCTGATGGGACAGCACCCCGGGGAAACCCGCCGACACCCCCGGGCTGAACGCCGGTAAGGAGCCGTTTCTGAGGGAGTCCGACAGCAGGGACTGCGGGGAGCCGCCGAACCCCGCCGCGCCATGCGGGAGATGCTGCGGGGGAGGCGGAGGCTGCGGCGGGGTCCCTCCTCCCGGTGGCCCCGGTGCCGCAGCGTGTTGGCTCCCTGAGACAAAATACCCGGCGGTCTGTCCGGACAGCAGCCCCACCGGAGACGTGCTCATCCCGTAAGTGTTCGTCAGGCCCAGCGCCATGGAGCGCCCCAGCTCCCCGTTACTCAGCTGCTCCACGGCGGGCAGCAGCGACCCGTAACCCGCCGCCTGGTTCAGGAAGCCGGGCGAGGATCCGTTGTAGTGCGGGTGGTGGTGGTGGTGGTGGTGCAGGGAGAGGAAGGGGGAGATCTGCCAGTACAGCGGGTTGTTCGGCCGCTCTAAGCCGAGCGGAGCGAAGCGCAGCCCGCGCTTCATGGCCAGCTTCCCCCGGGAGGTGGCGGAGCGCCGGCGGAGCTTCCCGGTGGTCCCCCCGATGAATACGTCGTCGCTGCTGGGGTCCAGCATCCAGTAGTTGCCCTTCCCCGGGTCGTCGTAGTGCCGAGGCACCTTAACGAAGCACTTATTGAGGCTGAGGTTGTGCCGGATGGAGTTCTGCCAGCCCTGCTTGTGCTCCCGGTAGTAGGGGAAGTTCTTCATGATGAACTCGTAGATGCCGTTCAGCGTCAGCCGCTTCTCGGGGCTCTGCCGGATGGCCATCATGATCAGCGCGTTGTAGCTGAACGGAGGCTTGTCGTACTTCCCGTTCTTCGCGCTGTTGTTGTTCCCGGTGGAGTTCTGCTCCGAAGCCGGCTTGGAGTCCTCCCCTCCTCCTCCGTCCTCCTCCTCCTCATGCTCCCCCTGCTCCTCCCTGCCAGCCTTCTCCTCGATCAGCCCGGAGGAGTCCACCTCCGTTGGACCTGGAGACTTGTCCGAATCAGAGTCCGGTGATGGAGAAAGAGTCCCGGGGATGCTGAGCACCGCGGCGGGGGCAGAGACCACCGGGTCCGGGCGCTCACACTTAGAGGGCAGCAGGAGGCTCTTGATGCTGAAGGAGGAGGACCGGTGGACGGTCGGCGGGGTTTTTACATCCTCCATGCCCGCTGCCCCCAAAGGAAACAAAAGTAAAAAAGAAGGGGAAAAAAATAATAATAACGACCAGGAATAAACAATAATAAAAAAAGAAGCGCTCCTCCGGGCTCGTCCACCTCCGAAATCCTGGAAACCACAGAGAGACAGTGGAGAGAGAAAGGAGGGTCAGGATGAGAGATGCATGGATGGAGGAGTGGAGAGAGAGAAAAGAGAAAGAGGGGGAGGGAAAGAGCGTGGCTTCAATGTGGAGAAATTAGTAATTAAGGAGGTTCCGACATCACGGAGAGGAGGGGCTTCTCCAAAACTCCTCGTTCTGCTCCTTCCTGCTCCCCGCTCACCCGCAGACCTTCTCCGTCTCCTGCCGCGGCTCCGAGCTTTGATCATGAACCTGCGTCCGTTGATCTGCCCCCCCCCCCCCCCCCCCCCCCCCCCCCCCCACACACACACACACCTCTCAGTATTTACGCACAGGTGTAGACGCTCCGCGCTCCGGGGGCGTAAAATCCAGATTTAAGGCCGTGCGTAAAAGCGCGCCTGGGTGCGTTTATCTGAGCTGCGCTCTGGTGGGCGGTGAGATCAGACTTTGTTTTCACAGCGACGAAAACAGTTTGGACTCATGTGGGCAAACACGGAGCGCGCGCGCTCACTGTGCGCCCGCGTGCGCGTTTTTACGGCGGGAGAAAGAGAAGGGGGAGGAACAGCTGAGCGCGTCACCGCTTTTCCACAAGCCCGCGGTTACGCACAGAGACGCGCGCGCTGGACATATCTGATGGAGACTTGATGCTGTAACCAGAGCGCCTCCTGTCGGGAAGAGCGAGTAACTGTCAGGGTAAACAGACCGTCTATTTTAAATGTTTTATTTCTGATGTTTAACTCATATTTTTCCTTATATAGGAGTTAATTATCTGTACATTCATTTTCCAAAATATTGTATTTATTTAAAATTTTGATGCTATTTTTCTTTACTTATTTAATTACTTTTTGCAATAAATTTTCTGATTTTAGTTCTTCCATTTTTATTTTATCAGTCGATGAATTTACAGTAATTGTACAACAATCTACAGTAAATGTTTATTTAATCCAGCTGATGTATAAAATATAAAAGCAGAATGTGACTATTGCATTTACTAACTTCTTTATTAAATGCTTATTTTCTAACCATGTTCCTTTTTAATCAGGATTTAAATTGTATCTAATTTATATTCATATTTGTATAAAAATGTATGCTTGTTTTAGGAAATATTTCTACACATTTTTCTATAAATTTATATTTTATGTGTTTTTTTTCCCATTTATCCTGATTTATTGGATCTGCTTGCTTCTTTTTTTTGTTTTAATAAAGGCTCTGCTTGTTTTATTTGTTGCGTCTCTTATGGATATTTTAGTGAAAATATCAGAATGTGAATTATGCTTCAGGTCAATCATGTACTTTATTATCTAATATGAAACTCTAATATGATTCTTTTGTTTCTTTAATCAGGACATTACTTTTTATTATGTATTACATTAATTCAGCTTTACTCGGGGGGATTTAATGTATAAAAATAATCCCAGAAATCAGTCAGCTATTTATTACTCTCTGTTGTACATAAAAACAAATTTTTCGCTTGCATCAAAATATCATCTCTTTTAAACATGTTCGATTTTAAAGCAGGATTCAAATTTTGAGTTTTGTTCCAAAATTACAAAAATAAATATTTTCTAACAGAAATTTTATTTTTCTCTCTATTTATAGGATTTTAAGGATCTTTAAGCAGATAATAATGAAATATAAAAAGGGAGAAAATATTCTCTGGTCTAAAGTCTACGTGTGAATCCATTGGGTTCATTAAGGTAATGAGATGAACCAGGAAGGTCCTCATGATTTATTTTTACGGTTTGGTTCAAGGGTGCAGTGATTACCCAGCATGCAAGAGCTTTGAACCAGGGCTTATTAATCGCTGCTGGCTTTTTTGTTTTGTTTTGTTTTTTTACAATAAAGTTTTGGGTTTGAATCCCAAGAAGTCAGCTCCTGCACTGGAAAAATGATCTAAACGTAAAAATGTCTCAAATTAAGTGTATTTACCCTTAATTTGAGCAGGTAAATGAGGTAGTTTTCCAATGGAATCAATATTTTTACTCTTAAAATGAATTAATGCGATAATTTGCACTTGAAATAAGACATTGCAATTGTGTTTTCTTTTTTTAAATCTAAATTGTCTTGTTCCATTGGCAAAATGTTGCTTTAACACTGGAAAAACAATCTAGAAATAAGTCAAAATTTCTTAAATTAAGTGTATTTACCGTTGATTTGAGCAGGTAATTAAGATAGTTTGCCAATGGAATGAGTATTTTTACTTTTAAAATAAGATAATTAGATAATATGCACTTTAAATAAGACAATGCAATTGTTTTTTCTTATTTCAAGTGTAAATTGTCTTGTTCCATTGGCAAAATGACTGTTTATCTCCTCAATTCAAGAACAAATGCAGTTATTGTAAGAAAAAATGACTTCTCCAGATTTCGATTTTTTCCTGTGTTGTTCTCCACAGTCATCATGTGAGATGAAGCTATTCTTAGGTTTGTGTTTGTTGATGTTTGTCCATTCAGGCTCCACCTTTCCTCTGACCTACTGGCTGCAGAGATAAAGCATCTATGGCCCAATAAAGGATGATCAGGTCTAGAAAATAGGAGAGAACATATTGCTGATTTTCTACTAAAAACATATAAATTGTACATGTAGGCTCAGAGGAAATCACACATAATTACACTGGAATAAATAGAAATCTAGATAAGTCATTTTTTTCTGAAAATAAATGCATTTGTTCTTGAATTGAGGAGATAAAAGAGACATTTTACTGATAAAACAAGACAATTTACACTTAAAATAAGAAAAAAACAATTGCATTGTCTTATTTAAAGTGCATATTATCTAATTATCTTATTTTAAGAGTAAAAATACTCATTCCATTGGCAAACTATCTCATTTACTGAGTCAAATTAAGGATAAATACATTTAATTTAAGAAAATGTTACTTATTTCTAGATTGTTTTTTCATTGTAATAATCGCAGCTGCTCAAAAAGCGATTTTAAACCCCAAACAGACCTGGATGATTAAAGTTTTGGAAATAAACTCTTCATTTTAAAGTATGCAAAGTAAATACATGTATTATTTGGGATATATTGAACCTGATGTGTGTGTAAGTGTGTGTATGCAGGCCCTACATCCTGTTCAATAAATGATCAGTGTTTTTAATTCAGAGTAATTTTCATGTGAATGTGCTTTACTGGAGGCATCCATGTTTGTCAAAGAACACTACTGCCACCTACTGGTTAGTGACATTGTCACGGAGCGGTATCGGCTGTTGATCAAGTCCCAGTGCTGTATCTGCTGTTTGTCACAACGCGCTATTATCCAAGTCATCTTGAAAACATTCTTCTTCCAAATGTTGGCTACATATTACGGGTTTTTTCTCTGGCCAGAAGTTCGATGGCAAATCCTCCCTCTTCAAGTTGGCGATCCAACGACCAACCCGTCCGTGGAGGATCAGGAATCAGAAAGGTGGAATAACTCTTTTTTTTTCACTTTTACCCGATGTATTCCAGCATCCAGCTGCCATGCACGTGGGCATTGTCAGTTTCACTATAGCTCTGGTGAATTTCAATGGTGAAGTCCTCTGGAAATCTTCAATAATTGTTGTTGATTGCAGATGTGTCTAGTAGTTCCCATTGATTTAGCTTGGAAAGCGGGGAGAATGGCGCTAGGCTTACCGCGCCGTGACGTCACTGCTGGAAGATGGCAGGAGGGAGGGGCTACTATATTTGGGCAAAAATGGCCGCTCCCAGACTCAGTGATTGAAACGAAAATATATATATATATATTTTTTATTGATTAACACTAAATTCATTAAATCACTGCAAAAGTATTAGTTTTCTTTGCTGACCGGACGTTTCCTTTAAACGCGGCGGTTTCGGTTCAGACCGGACTTTACAGTAGAGTCAGTTTTCTGGTTCTTTCCAGCGTCTCCATCCAGTCTGGGATCATCGTCCTGCTGGATCAGCAGCAGGTCCAGATTCTGTCATTTAGCCGCTGAAGATGTTGGTAAAGCTTGAGGTAATACTGCAGCATTGAGCCTCCCAGCATGATGCTGCCACCATCGTGCCTTACAGCTGCTTCAGTTTATTATTTCTGAACCTCCTGGCTTATAACCAATGCCTGAACGTCTCCCAGACCAGATTCTGTGCAGAACTGAAACCGAGCCGCAGCCTTTAGACCAGATCAAATCTTTGTGCAGTTTGGAGTCTCGGTCCGACCTTCAGACCTCTATGTGTTAAGGCTGTGTTTACAGTAAATAATGTTGAGCTGCGTTCAGCGACACATGCAGAGCTCTGTTTGCAGTCGCTGCAGGTTCTGTATGACAACAGATTGACACTGAAATCTGCTGCATCAAATCTCCAGCAGGTTTCAGCCAGATGGTGTTTCCGTTTAACTGGCAAACCCATTTTGGGAAACCTTTCCTAAAGATAACCTCTTTAACTGGTAACCATCAGACGGAGCAGCTTTTCGGGAGGCTTATCCAGACGTCTTGAGAGCCGTAAACCCGGGTCCTTTCGGAGGCCGCACCGCGGCGGCTGACTTTGACTGTTTTCATGATGGCCCACCCTGTTTCTGAGCCCAACAAAGCTCACTTTGGATAAGCCAATAATCCTGGATAAGCTGCAGAAAACAGAAACACAGACAAGAAACGGTGACCCACAACAGAGGAGCTGTTGGTGCAACAAAGTCCAGGCAGCAGCCCCATAAATATACCAAAAAAAATCTTCAATCTTCTCCAAACAGCATTTTATCTTTATATTGTTACACTTTCACTTCATCCGAGTCTTTGTTCTTTTTTATTACTGCTACGTTTTTACTCTCATCCCCGATAGACTGAATCAGGCTTTAAAGCAGAGATTTGTTAAAGTGAAATAATGTCTTCATCTCTAACTTTAAAGGTCTAAAACAGAGGAGTGAGCAGTTTGTTCAGGGGGACGATGATCTCTGATCATTTAGAAAACCAAGAACCATCTAAATATACAGAATCAAACTAGTCCCATCAATCTAATTCCCACACTGCAAAAAACATCTAGAAATAAGTAAAAATGTCTTAAATTAAGTGTATTTATCCTTAATCTGAGTAGGTAAATGAGATAGTTTGCCAATGGAATGAGTATTTTTACTCTTAAAATAAGGTAATTAGATAAAATGCACTTGAAATAAGACAATGCAATTGTGTTTTCTTATTCTAAATGTAAATTGTCTTGTTCCACTGGGAAAATGTCTCTTTTACCACCTTAATCCAAGAAGCTCCTGTCATGGTTTCCTCCAAGTTTTCTTCCTGTGTTTTGCTGCAGATCTTGGTGATAATTTCCAGCTGGAAATAAGAAAAGAT